TGGATATGGTGATTTGGTTGTGGGGTTTGGGTTTAGGGTACGTTGGGGTTTGTGGCTGCGTACACTAGTACTCAGTACTCGACACCCCTGCTAGTTTGGGTATTAATGAGACGAGCAACATGTGTGCCGGCTTCAAAGCAAGCTGGTCCTTGAGTCCCTTGAGCTCCTCCAGCTTGTCGTTGGCAACCTTGCTCTTGGCCTTAACCTGCTGTGGGAAGCTGTTCTTGCCCGACTTGCGAAGCTTCTTGTACTCCTCGGCCTCCTTGGCTAAGTCCTCAGCTGAGCCCCGCGTCATCAGGCCATGCGGCGTTGGCAAGCGGGACGAAGACGACTGCCCCGGCAAAGCGTTCCCAAGCTGCATAACCACCGGCCTGTATGCAATAAACCCATGATAAACCCCTAAACCCCTCAACCATAAACCCCTGAACCCTAAACCCTTAAACCCCTGAACCCCTGAATCCTAAAACCCTAAACCCTAAACCCCTTACCCCTTACTAAACCCCTAACCCGAAACAAGGGTCGGTTTGGGGTGGGAGGATTTGAGATCTAGGTTTCTATAATATGAGTAATTACAACAATAACAATGATTTTGGGAACTATCTCCAAAACAGCACTTAGGGCCCTTTGGGTATTTCAGGCAAAGGAACAGCAGCTCCCGAGTTTGCTGTCCGGTCAAGTCCATCTCACCACTCGTAATGATCGCCTGCGTTGAGTTCTTGCTGGACGACGTGATCGTCGCCGAGTCCCAAACTCTCACCAGTTCGTGCTCCTGGCGTCTAGCAAGCTTATAATAACTTATAAGACTCTGCACAAGAGCGGGTCCAGATCTTGCTATAGTACAGCCGAGCTGCTTCGGATCCCGGCAAGTCCGGGTGCGGAAGGATCCACGGCAGGGTTGCCGGATCTGGCTCGGCATCCAGCTTCTCTTGAAGCTGTCGCTTCTCGTCCCTGATACTCTTCGCCACTATGGGCCCGTGGACCTTCTTGAGGTCCTTAAACATAGTGTAGCATTCTTCGTGCTTCAACTCGCGTGACGTTTTGGACTTGGCTTTCAGCACTAGGGTGCTTTGGAGCCAGTCTCCGGATGACCGGAGGTAGTCGAGGAACAGGTCCTCCAACTTCGTGCCACCTAAGTTTTCGTCCGATATATATGCAATCTAGCTATTGGATCTCTGCAGCGATTCTTGCGTGCAAGTAGCCGCCCTTCGTTTTCTGCACGGCTGCGATCACTTCGGGAGGGCACTTGCTACCTTCAGGACGAATTGGCTTATTTGATATTATACTTAAGTATCGCATAGGGAGCTAGTGCTAGTCAAGGTTCTCTTGGTGCTGCGGTGGAACTTCATGTACACATTGTGTGCGATTCTGTAGATGTGTTCCTCTTCCGACTCACCCTCCTTGCGTTTCAGCGTCGCATCCTGCAAGCGAGCTGCATGTAGCAAAGACATGAACAATGGTTTAGGGTTTAGGGTTTAGGCTTTAGGTTTAGGGTTTAGGGTTTAGGGTTTAGGGTTTAGGGTTTAGGGTTTAGGGTTTAGGGTTTAGGGTAGTTATAACACTACAACCTTATGAGTCTCCTGGACGTTGTACTTTTCCGGGTGCTTCAACACATCATCCACGAGCCCAGCGTCGATCGCTTTGTTCACGGCACCATTTCCTCCCGACTTTCGCTGCAAGGTCTCAGCCTCGACCACGGCTTCTCGAAGCAGCTGCTGCTGGGCGACTGTCTTGTCCTGCTTGGCGGCAATTAAAACCCTAAAACCCTAAAATACACCCAAAGGGTCCAAGTACTAGTATAGTATATACTTTGGGGGCCCAAATACCTACTAAGTACCCACTATAATGGTACTTGGACCCTTTGGGACAAACCCCTAAACCCCTAAACTCTAAACCGTAGGGTATAGGGGGGGATTTGACGGGGATCTGGACTACGATTACTTATGAATTACTAGCAAGACTGGCCTGGGCCGATCCGTCCGTCTGCGATTGCGTCTGGTGGCTGTTCTGCTTGTCCTCCCGGGACTATAGGTGTACTACTGGGCTCGTCCTGGTGGCTGTTCTGCTTGTCCGGGGTAGATAGGTATAGGTTTGCTATTAACAGGGCTCGTATCAAACCCATAGCTCGCGATAGGGTGTAGGGTTTAGGGTTTAGGGGTTTAGGGGTTTAGGGGTTTAGGGGTTTAGGGGTTTAGGGGTTTAGGGGTTTAGGGTTGCATTGTGGAAGTCATCAGTGTTCAGGCGGTTGCACAAGTCCTGATGTAAAAAAGGGGTTTAGGGTTCATATCAGTACTATAGCACTCGTGGCCTCGGTCGACACCATCATAGCCGATCCGTCCGTCTGCGATTGCGTCTGCTGGCTGTTCTGCTTGTCCTTCGGGGACTCGATATAGGTGTGCTACTGGGCTCGTATCAACCCGATAGCTCAGAGACTGCGTTAGGGTTTAGGGCCCAGAGGTTTAGAGGTTTAGGGCTCAGTAGTACTATAGCACTCGTGGCCTTGGTCGACACCATCAAAGCCGATCCGTCCGTCTGCGATTGCGTGTGCTGGCTGCTCTGCTTGTCCTTCGGCGAATAGCTACTGGGCTCGTATCAACAGAGACTGCGTTAGGGTTTAAGGTTTAGGGGTTTAGGGCCGGGGTTTTATAAGGTTCATTAGTACTATAGCACTCGTGGCCTCGGTCGACACCGGAGCCGATCCGTCCGTCTGCGATTGCATGTGCTGGCTGTTCTGCTTGTCCTTCGGGGACTAGAAAATATAGGTGTGCTACTGGGCTCGTATGGTTTAGGGTTTAGGGGTTTAGGGTTCATTGTTTATTTTAGGCGTAGTACTACAGCACTCGTGGCCTCGGTTGGAGCCGATCCGTTCGTCTGCGATTGCGTCTGGTCGTTCTTCTGCTTGTCCTACGGGTCAGGTTGGTTATTAGATAGAAAAAACAGGGATCAAATGCATTGCTAAGCTTGTGGAGCATCAACCTGAGGGTCTTAAGGCAAGGTAAGGTAGGTAGGGTTCTGTGGGGTGAGGTTTGCAGATTTCAAAACCGAACAGATCAGTGGCCTCGGTCGCAGTTTGCGATTGCGTCTGGCCGTTGTTCTGCTTGTCCTGTTGGTCAGGTTGGTTAGATTGATGAACTGAACATGAGTAATTATATTGCTAAACCCTAGACCCTAAACCCTAAACCCTAAACACCTAAACCCTAAACCCTAAACCCTAAACCCTAAACCCTAGGCTTGTGGAGCAACAACCCGGGGCCTGAGATCCTGGAGATTGGATTAAATGTTCATATTCGCATTAGCATCAGGAACCCAGATTGTGAAGCCCCGGGGTATGTACTGAGTATTCACGGCATCGGCCCCACAAGGCCAAGATTGTAGGATCACAACAACTTCGACCTGACCCCTTGTACAAACCAAAAACCAAAAGCCTAAAGACATCAAAAGGTTTTGGATTACGGGGGTTTGAATCATGACGGGGCTCTGGCCTCAGCCAAGGCAGCTGTCTGCAACTGCTGCTCCAACGGCTTCTGCGGCTGCTCCTCTGGCTGGTCTCTAGGCTTCGGAGTCTTTTACGTACGAGGGTGTGTTGATGGATCCTGGGCCAATCAAAAATTTAAAACGAGAAAGTCCATTCAGGGTTGCGGGGTTCTAATCCGGGTGTGCGAGGGTTAGATCGCGATCGGTGTTCTACACAAGAAATAAGTGTTTCCGCATTGTCGGGTGAAGCTTCATGTCGTCAGTTGGCCCGGTCCAAGGATGAAACCGAGTAAGAGTTTAGGGGCTTGGAGTTTAGGGGTCTAGGGCTCCCTGCCGGGTTTAGGGTTTAGAGCTTAGGGTTTAGGGTTTAGGGTTTAGGGTTTAGGGTGTTCGCAAATGTAAAGGAAGGACTTCATGGACTCGGGGGGGTGGCATAGCTAATTGAAAGTTCAGCTGGTCCTTCTCTGGGCAAAAACCTTGAAGACCCATCTCCAATTCCATGAGGATGTCGTCGTCGTTCTCCGGAATGGCCTGCAATTGGATTGCAGGTGCAGCAATCGCTGTCCAGGCATCCAGAATGAAGTTGCATGCGGTCTCCACCTTGATGCAAAGCTCGGACTCCATGTCTCCCAGAGCCACGTCCAGCTCCGAGTCCTTCTTGGACTGCCACTGCACCACAACCTGCGATTTGCTGATCATCACCTCCTCTGCGATCTCGCCCTGCTCCAGCTTCGCTTTCAGCTGGTGGATCATATTCTCACCCTGCTGTTGCACAGCTGCTCGCTTCTCGGCAATAGAGTCCATTGTCTCCTTGCCCGCACGGAGCGAGGCCAGTGCCTCGTTCACGGACACCACGGCCGGGGAGAGCTTGAACTGGCACTCGTACGGATTCATCTTCGTGCCCGCAGCCTGGGCAGCAGCGACGGCGTGTGACATATCCACCTTGAACGGCCGACGTTCGTCGGAATCGCCAGCACCACCAAAAACCTCGAGGGCCCAGTCGGTCAGCTGCTTCATCCAAGCTTCCTGTTCAGCATCTGCACCGAGGGGCTCATAAGCCTCAAGCTTAAAGAAATGCTTGCAAAGCATCTCCATCATGCCACTCGGCATCTCCAGCTCAGCTTTCCCCATGGCGGCCATTGTCTGGGTGGTCATCGTGTCGAGGCTTCGTAGCCCAGGTCCTTCGGATGGAGAGCACGGATTGCGGGGGGCGGCGGGTCGGGGCGGAGCAGGACCTATAGAATGACCAATTTAGCATTTGTTGACATGTTAATGTTGCCAGTACAGGAAGTTCTTAGGTGCAGAGTAATTCGGTGGCTGAGTAGAAGAGTTGGGGGTCAGGCGGCGACCATACTTACAACATAACTCTTAGGATATACATATATATATATATATCTAGGACCTCAAACATAGAAATCCATGAGTAAGAGTTCCAAACCCTGATGATTAAATGTATTAGCCCGAAACCTGAGCACTCTAGATCCTGGCAAACTAAATCTGAATCCCGGTTTAGGTTTTGGGGTTTAGGCTTTAGGGTTTAGGGGGTTTCGGGTTTAGGGTTTAGGGTTTCAAGATCCCTCCCAAACCCGAGCCGAGAACTCCAAAACCCTGCTCATAATGGATAGCCTGAAAGTGAAACCCTGAAACCCCAAAAGCTCAGCCCCAACGGAACCCTTAATCCGAACTCCAGCCCAGGATCCAGGGTCGGCTGCCGATGCCTTGCTGCCGCCAGCTGCAGCTGGCTCGGGGCCACTCGGAGCATCCTGC